AATACGAATTTCTGAGGCATAATGTGTCTATAATTACTTTTTTATCTGTTTCATTGACTAACTTATATAAGTGTCAACAAGGAAAACATTGTAAGATTCTAGCTAAAAATCATTTGGTAGCAAGTTAAATACCTTACAGTTGTTCTATTCATTTAAAGTGACATTATGCCCATCCGAGTGTATAATTATAGTGAGTGAACAGTTGAAAGTCAAGATAAGTTAATGTTGTGCCATAATTTTTTTCAAATTTTTTTAACTTTCTTCGAATGAACTATAAATAATTCACATGGTCTATGGAAATTTCCCTATCATAATTCACCTGTTATGTTCAATTGACAAAAGGAGCGGGGCGTTCTTTTTATATTTTTAACATATTTATATTTTATTCTACACATTTTTCAATATCAACAGTTGGTCAGTCACCATAATAAAAGTCAATTTTTGAAATACATGGTGTATATGGTCAAGTCCGCTCACCTTGACAATGGAAAAATGAGCATAATATCACTTTAACATAGATCTTGTTCAATAAAATTGTAAGTGTAACTTTTGACAGTATTTTTTTATACAGTTTCCTACTTAAAATACATGTACGCAGAAAAAATACTGACAAATATACAGAATATTTGAGCAAGTTTCAGCTACATTTAATGACAACAAAGTGATTATAAACAACATCAATATAAACAGTCTTACTATATCAAAGGTACTCCATCCATCATTTGCTTGCTTAACCCTTAATCTGCTATATGTGTGAAATAGATTTGCCTGGTGTTTGAATTTGGAAGAGTTCATTCAGAATTGAGAGATGTTAAAGGGACTTAAATATCAAGCACAAAAAATGGGCCAGCAACAGTATCAAGTGCCTAGTCAAACTGCACAGAAAGTTCAGTCCGACCTGGAATTTCATTAAATTGTGGCAAAGTCTAACTACATCCCGTTCAATCAGGTTAAAGGTAGAAATAACCGGTATGTTTTCATCAAATATGATAAATATGATAAAATCCATAAAATGAACTACATTCTAACCCTTATACCACATCGAGACAACATGACTTGCGAATGGCAATTAAGTGCCTAAATGTGTTTCATCATTTTTATTTTAAATAAAAATCCTTCAATGACTGTTAGCTACATAAATCATGACTACTACAAAGCAGAAATCTTTTTTTATATGGTGTTTAAATAAATAAATTGCTATCAAAGTTAAATGTTTTAACACTATGATAAAATGTAAGAAAGCTGCTATTTATTATCGACTAAAACAAGCTGTAATAATGAATAAAGCACCTAGGGGGAAGTAAGCGTACATGTACTAAGGAAACTTCTCTTACAAAGTTATTTTAACATGTTTACTTTATAACAAGCAAATTCGTTGAATTTATATCCCCCGCCGAGTACTGGTTATTATTAACACAACAACTGAAGACATAAGGCTTTATTTATATATTAATCATGGCATAAACTGTAATATTCTTTGAACTTGAAGCCTTGTACCTTCAAACAAGAAGAATTTTTAAGTTTTCACTATATACATATAAGGAAAATCTATGACCCCCTGGAGTGGGGCCAATTTTGACCTCAGGGCTAAAATTTGAACAATTTTGGTAGAGGACCTATAGGTTATATCATAAACCAAATATCAAAGCTCTAGGCCTTGTACTGGCCCTGTGACCTACTTATGCAACAGACCGGAACCATTTGATCAACTTTGGCAGGGGACCACCCTAGGATCACTCCTGTAAAGTTTGGTTGCTGTGCAGTCATTTGTTTCTGAGGAGATGTTGTTTAAAGAAATTGCTGACAACGCACGACGACGGATGGTGGGGGATCACAATAGCTCACCTAGATGTAAAAACATCTTAATCTCCAGACTTCATTGCCATTTTCAAGGCATCAAGAAGGGATCTCACAATTTTCAAATATTTTTAAAAGTTATTGTAACAAATCATTTTAATTCTTCTTTAATAAAAACTAGAAATGTGTCCATAGGACACGGGTGCCCCCACTGCGCCACTGTTCTGTCAATCTTATGACTCTAGGTCAAATATTTTTTTAAAACTAAAAATCTTTTTACTAAGTAAAGGGCAAGAACTTTACAAATACTGAATAAATCCCCAAGCAAACCCCAAGTTGAAAATTGCAAATTTATACTACTGTAATTCAAGGGCAATAACTCTAACAAAACTGAAAAAAATCCACATGCAAAGTCCCAGGTTCATAGTTTCACAGTGAGGTGAATCATTATTCCTGTAATTTAGTGATGTTGATCATTATTCCTGTAAAGTGGGTCGATTCAAACTCAAGCACTCAATGATCAAATAACAACATAATGAAACAGTTTTTACGAAGTCAAGGGAAATAACTTTACAAATACTGGATAAATCCACAAGCGAAACCCCAGGAACAAACTAAATATGCTGAGCAACTTTCCAATAAGGTTTAATGACTCTATGTCAAATCCTTTTTGAGTTACATGCGACACATGTTGAAAATTGCAAACATTTTCTAAGTCAAGGGCAATAACTCTAAAAATACTAAATAAATCCAGACGAAAATACCCAGGTGCACAACTACACATGCTGATCAACATTCCTGTAAAGTATCATGACTCTAGGTTAAATACTTTTGAGTTACATGCGACACAAGTTGAAAATTGCAAAATTTTACTAAGTCAAGGGCAATGACTCTAAAAATACTAAAAATATCCGGACGAAAATACCCAGGTGCACAACTACACATACTGATCAACATTCCTGTAAAGTTTCATGACTCTAGGTCAAATACTTTTTGAGTTACATGCGACACAAGTTGAAAATTACAAAATTTTACTAAGTCAAGGGCAATAACTCTAAAAATATTAAAAATATCCAGACGAAAATAACCAGGTGCACAACTACACATACTGATCAACATTCCTGTAAAGTTTCATGACTCTAAGTTAAATACTTTTTGAGTTACATGCGATACAAGTTGAAAATTACAAAATTTTACTAAGTCAAGGGCAATAACTCTAAAAATATTAAAAATATCCAGACGAAAATAACCAGGTGCACAACTACACATACTGATCAACATTCCTGTAAAGTTTCATGACTCTAGGTTAAATACTTTTTGAGTTACATGCGATACAAGTTGAAAATTACAAAATTTTACTAAGTCAAGGGCAATAACTCTAAAAATACTAAAAATATCCAGACGAAAATACCCAGGTGCACAACTTCACATGCTGATCAACATTCCCATAAAGTTTCGTTGAATTCCAGCCATTAGTTGCAGAGAACTACTCCGGAAACGAAATTCTGACAAAATTTTACTGAGTCAAGGGCAATAACTCTAAAAATACTAAAAATATCCAGAGGAAAATACCCAGGTGCACAACTTCACATGCTGATCAACATTCCCATAAAGTTTCGTTGAATTCCAGCCATTAGTTGCAGAGAACTACTCCGGAAACGAAATTCTGACAAAATTTTACTGAGTCAAGGGCAATAACTCTAAAAATACTAAAAATATCCAGACGAAAATACCCAGGTGCACAACTTCACATGCTGATCAACATTCCCATAAAGTTTCGTTGAATTCCAGCCATTAGTTGCAGAGAACTACTCCGGAAACGAAATTCGGACGGACGGACGGACGGACGGAAGGATGGACGGACAACGCCAAAACTATATCCCCCTCCCGATTCCATCGGCGGGGGATAATTATACCTTGAGTTAAGTTGTAAGCAATTTGTTAAATCAATTTTAATATTTTTTAATCAAAATTGTCTCTTCATCAATAGGTTAAATGTTTAGAATTTACACAAGTATTACACATACAATGATTATCTGAAACTCCAATTTACCCTACTGTCACTTTGTTCATAATTCATATCAATATGATCAATTTCGATCTTTATTGTCATGTCAGAGGCATTAATAACCTGAACACTCCCTCATTATCCAAAATTTTACTGTTTAACATACATACATGTACATGACTGTTTAAACAAGAACTGCCACTGTCATGGCGTGAATACCCCCGCATACCACCGAGTTATTGGGCGGACAAGCTTTTTTTTAGTCAAGGCCCCTGTGACCTTGACCTTTGACCCAGTGACCTCAAAACCAATAGGAGTCATCTACTAATCATGACTAACCTCCATGCCAAATATGAAGACTGTGGGTCAAAGGAATCTCAAGTTATTGGGCGGACAAGCTTTTTAAAGTCAAGGCCCCTGTGACCTTGACCTTTGACCCAGTGACCTCAAAATCAATAGGGGTCATCTACTAATCATGACTAACCTCCATGCCAAATATGAAGACTGTCGGCCACAGGAATCTCAAGCTATTTGGTGGACAAGCTTTTTAAAGTCAAGGCCCGTGACCTTGACCTTTGACCCAGTGATCCCAGAATCAATAGGGGTCATCTACTAATCATGACTAACCTCCATGCCAAATATAAAGACTGTGGGCCAAGGGAATTGGGCGGACAAGCTTTTTAAAGTCAAGGCCCCTGTGACCTTGACCTTTGACCCAGTGACCCCAAAATCAATAGGGGTCATCTACTAATCATGACTAACCTCCATGCCAAATATGAAGACTGTGGGCCAAAGGAATCTCAAGTTATTGGGCGGACAAGGAAAAACCGACGGACAGCCGGATGGGGAGACGTCCGGACGGACAAGCTGATTCCAGTATACCCCCCTTACAACTTCGTTGTGCGGGGGTATAAAGATCATTAATGCTGTTCTTTAAATAGTAAATATAAATAAACTGACAAGAGACATTTATTCTAAATTTACTAAACAGGTTCAAGAAATGATCACATGAAATGACAACTAACTATTAGCTTCATAACAAAAATCTGATGCTACATGTATTTCAACAATCTTCATGTGACTGATTTGATATCCTAAGAATTTTAACCTATATTTTGATAGAAGTTGGCCAATACAAAAAACATTATTGGCTATAATTTGATTAAAAAATAAAACATTGTTGTCTTTTTATTTATAGTTTTCTATGTAATTATTCACCTGAATTAAAAAAAGAATGCCACACATGGCATACATTTTCTTTTGTTTTTCACTCAATGATTACTGATTACTTGAATAAATTTATCATATAAAATGTTGTTATTTGAAACCTCATTCTTTGCACTTACATAGGAATCAAATAGCTGTTCAATGAATACGTATATCTTCCTGACATTATAAATAACTTAATTGTTATCATAATAGATCTCATACTATGGTACAGCTCAAGATTGATACATTACATGTATACATCACAGATTTTTCATAACCACAAATTCAAACTCTATTGAGAGAGGTTCCACTCTGACGTCGAACATTCCAATTCTGGTCAATTTGCCTTAAATTTGATATGTGAACCTTATTAAGCTGCATCTCAACTTGCTGCGGGAGTTGCCATGATGTTACTCCATCGTCGCTCTGATAGAAAAGTTTTCCCCGAGTTAACGGGTCTTTACTTAAATGCACCGTCCAGCCCATAGGTAACTCTGCCAAATTTCTAGGAATGCCACATTCACACCGTTCACTAGATTTTAAAACGTCTTTAAGTTTTTCTGAAATATCTTCAGAAACGTCTCGAGCTCTTGAGTAACCATACGCTCCGCCATCCTCTTTCTTCTCTGGTGCTTCAGGAAGTGGTAATGGTGGTCTATTGCCTATGTCATTATTAGGTAAAGTATTAACATGTGAACTGTTTGAACCCCAGGTGCCACTACTAGAGTCCGTACTCTGAGTTCGGTTCAATGGTCGAACAGGTAATGGTGGAGGAATACCCTTTAAGCTGTCAAATGATCGCTCAGATGTTCTACTACTTATACTCAAACTTGACAAACTATTTGTGCGATTTGATTGAAATCTGCCACTACTTGATCCATTTTGTTCCGTATATAAATTAGCATTTACATCAGATCTATAAATAGGATTCAGAAAATACACATTGTTCACATTTTCTAAATTTTTCACAGGGTTTTGCTTATAATAATCAATTAGCTGATCAACGCTATCAAACTTCTTTTCGACAACAAGGAAGTACTTCCAACAGCCCCGGGAAGCATCAAACTCTATCTGGATGTGGGTATGCCGTACACTTTTATCTGGTACTCTGTTAAAAAAAAATAATATATATATAAGACACTATAAAAGTTTTTATTACAACATAGCTATGAAAATATCATTCTCAATAATTGTAATATACATTCAAATAAAAAAATAAAATAGATTCTTACTTTTTTTAAAACAGGCTCATTTTCCAAAATCATCAAAATACTTTAGTTAAACAAACCTGCCTCTTTAATGTTGTTGACATGAACACCATATGTATGTGTGTCTGAGTGATGTAAAAGAATTATCACCACAGATTAAAGAGTGAAGAATGTTTCATATAGGTTTTATAAAAAATTGGAATCTTCTTATTTATAAATCTTGTTTGATCGCTACCCTCTAATATAATAGATCAATTTGTTTCAATTTTAAATCTTCTATGGATTTATTGCATTAATTTTTTGATGCTTATTCTATTACTTATTTCAGTAGTTACAAATGTATAAAAGTGTAAGTAAAATGGAGGTGGCATCATTAAGAAACTCGTCTTGAAAATAACAATTAACATTTAATGATTTAAATCTATTTTCTTATACATTTGTATTTAGTTTTTTAAAAACTGTTACTCCAACTAATATTTAACAAGAGCTGTCAGTAGGACAGCGTGCTCGACTTTTCTCAGTGCTTGATAGTAATGGGGCATCATATTGCATACAGTATTTTCCTCCTGTACACAAGTTGAGATTATGATGGTGTACAAGTGTGCAAAATTTCAAAGCCATATGTCAATGGATTTTAAAAATATTTGAGTTGGTACACAAACTTTAACATAAGTGGTTACGCCGATGCTCGAGGTACCAGTACTCCTTATTCTTTGAATAGTCGAGCTAAAAATTGTACTAAGGTTATAAAACAAGGACAAAAATAAGGCTATACATACAAGACGGAGGCAGTGAGGAGGTCTCTATTTCTGTTGCTAGGTCGCAGTAAGAATGATCCAGATTTACCCTTAGATTTCTTCTTTATAAAATGAGAAACCTACACAATAAAGAATATTCTAAATTAGTACCTGTTAATACAAGCTTGTAAACAATGAAAAACAGGATGTGGGGTTCATTCAGTTACAAATTAGTTGTATAGTATGTCAAGAAGTTAAGAATATATTCTACGCAACTTTAGATATTTTAGTTAATTTGAATACAATAACAAAACATACATGTATGCAGGTCTCCAATACCGATTTGTAAAAGTTTCGAATTAAATATACTGCTTTAAATGCTGTGTGTTAAAGTCTCACAGGGATGCTTTATTTATCAAGATGGTAAGATATCCACCTGGCTTATTGAAGAATGTTGTTACATTACTGTGTATGTAGTTTACATCCTAATGTAATTCAATAAATCATTACTGTGATAACCTAATGGAAGTTACAAGTATTTCAAATATCTCTGGATTCCAACACCATTTTTCATTTTTTTCCCCTTCAGATTGCTAGATCATTTTATACATACATGTACATGTATTAGACTCAGATGTACAATACAATCCTGTCCACAAATAAATGAAATCACTGTACCAAGTCTATCAATTACAAGCACTATCAATTACAATCACCTGCTACATCTGATGCACATCTCAAGAGCCTATATATACATGTATTTTAACTTTAACCTTTCTTGCAAAAATAGAAAAACACTGTGCCTTGTTTGAAATATAGGATATCTATAATAGTAAAAAATGATTCACTATTTAAATATGGCTTTATTATTCAATTAGGAAGAATAATATTCAATTAACAATAGTAAATAATTAGGTTATGACTTACATCATCTACTGACTTAAAATGATCATGAAAATATGGCAATGTTGTCCAATTGTCTCTCAGCATATCCCTTGTTCTATCAGCCATCTTTCATCCTGACCTCTACACAATGTACACACCTGAAATATTTCATAACAGATATTAATTTACTACATCCATTTATGGCTTGTGTTTCTCTAAGCAAGTGAGTTTCTATACCACATTATAATATGCATGTATAACAGTGAGTTCAGGGGTCACATAGAGTTGAAAATGTTTAAAACCACTTGTCACAGCTTTGCATGTATCAATTTTAAGAGCATCTTGAAACATATTGGAGCCAATTTCCTGAAACTGTATCTAAGATACAAGCATGTATCAAATTATTAATGACAGTCTGACCCTTACATATCTATCACTTGAATCAAATAATCATCATATTTTCCAGTTTACAAAAAATACTATATATTTCTCAATGAAATTTGGTTGTTTTATATGAATGTGAAGACATCATGTTTAACACTAAACACATGTAATTTAATTATGTTTAAAACAGTTTATCCTCAACACTATAATATCAATTTTTCTTAATTTGAAATAACATTCTAGAATAAATACTTAAGTAACGTGACATTATCTTTAAATTTGTTTTAATTCATTGAAAATTTGTATTGAAAATGTATTGTTCATGCATTTCTTTGTATGATTATACAAGTCAAAATAAAATAATGTTCTGATCTGCAATTCAACATTAACATTAGTTTACCCTTTACCCATCAAATGTCTTGTGTTTGCTTACTTTGAATGGAAATTTAAATATCCAATGTACATGTAACCTTAAGTAATAATTATGTGTGAGTTTAGCTGACATATGTATGGGTTTGTTAAAAGTTGAAGCAATCTGTTATGGTCAATTATGCTCAATGTGGAAAACTCTTCTGAGAATGAGATGTTGTAATAGTTATTCTGGGATGGGGTAAACCTAAGCTATAGCTCAGCATGGGGGCATATAGATAGGCCCTCTCTAAAGCAGTGAGATAACGTTCTATGGCTAGTTTTACATTAGTGATTTGGTACATCAAGCAGCCTCTACAATTAACAGGATGAATTTATATTTGGCGTCATTTAACCTGTAATAGTGATTAACCTTTTACCCCATGAGCATATTGCGAAAAATGGCCATTTTCATTTAAAAGCCTCCTGTAACAAGTTCAAACTGCTATGAAACTATGAAAAGTGCTTCCTGTTACCATGGCAATAGGGGGACCTCTCAAAATTGCCAAAAATCACTATTTTGCATTGTTTTTTTCCATCAAAACTGATTTCAAAGTGCTGCAACTTCTCAATGAATTGAGATAGAGTAAAAGGCTTTTCAGCGTCGGTTACTAGTTACCCTAAGATCGACCTGAGGCCATTTTTAGCCTGTCACATGTCAAAAATTTTCTTGGCGATGAGGGGGACTCTGCCCCCCCCCCCCCCCCCAAACAGAAGGGGGTATATCCCCCTTCTGGCAACCCCCTGATGTAACTTTTGGTCAATGGATGGGGGACGGCGCCGAAAAAGTGGTCACTTTTTTTAACAACATTTCTCAACGAAAACTAGTGTTTGGGGCCTAAATAGGGCATTTTTTCACTGTTTGAGGCCGCAAAAAAGGGGGGGGGGCAAAAAGCTGTGGAAACACGCTTATATGAGGGAAAAGGTTAAGGGTCTAGCAACTGGGTAATGCTGGGGTGTTTTAATGATGTACTGATATGGTAAAATCTGAATGTCCGTAATTACAAAGCAACCTTCCTGATGATAAAGATTTAAGATAAGCATCCATAAAGCCAGAATAAATCCATTATTACATGTATAGTATCATAATTCATAGTTACATACATATGTACATATACTTTTTACTTGTCAGGTAACTCTGGTGCCTGACCAGTACTTAACTATATATAATTTAATTCAACAAAAATAAACACAGCTAGACTATTCAATTTATCTTTTGGCCGACAGTTCAAACCTGTGTGACTTAAACAAAGTCCTTTAGTCCTAAAGGACATATATACGGTAATCACCATCTAAATGTCACAGTAGCCACTTTAAAGTTTATCTGGGCTCAACAATTAACCATTAGTATTTTAATTTTTATATCAGGAACTAGACATTTCACCCCTTAAATTTTGAAGACACTTCACCCCTGATCTTTAATATTCTTCTAAAGTAAATATTTATATTATAGAGAGCTTGAAGAGCAGGCCCTTCCAAAGCGAGCATTATGGTAAGGCCAGTATCTTCAAGTGATGGTTTTGAAAACTTTCGCCATAAATACTGCAAAATTATGGGTAAAAGTTTGCCTGCTCTCTTCATTGGAGGTTCTTTGGTTCCCTGTCTTATATTTGAATCATGCCAGGAATCAGTACCAGCAGGTTACCCACACTCATAATTGTTTACCAATACCAAAGCATGCTAGGGAACAGTTTTTTTCTGGTTTTCTGTCTCATTATATTTCCCATCAAAACCATTTGGAACCCTTTGCAAATTACCATTTATTTAAATGCGAAGTTTCGAGAATTTTCAGTTTCCCGAAATTGGACTCTTACATGTAGCCGATCATGTGCGTTTGATGAATTAATCATCAAGTGCATAAACGTTTGACTGATTCAATTATTGTGTGGCCCAAAGTGTGCAGGTGACTGTTCTAAGGGTTCTAATGTCAACCCAACACTTAGGTAACATTGTGGTATACCGTGGTATCTTGTTAATACCGTGGTATACCGCAGTATGTTTTTTACTCGCGGTACCCGTGCAGAAAATATTTCCTGTTCTCAGGAAGTCCCAGGAAATCCCAGGATTATCCCAGGATTTGTTTGCTACCTCTTAACAAAAGTCCTGTTTATAGGATATCTCAAGACTTTTGAACATACTGAACAGGACAAAACAGGAATTGTCAGGACTTAAATCTTACCAACAGGAAAAAACAGGAAATCTCAGGACTTTTATTTTCAAATATGTCCTGAGGACAGGAATTATCAGGACTTCATTTATAGTGAAGTCCTTTAGTCAAAGACAAGAAAGATATTTTCTTAGAAGGCCTTTCTGTAAAGTGAAAAGTAAGAAGTCTTGTTAATTCCTGTTCTTTAGACAGAGGAATAAATGAAATAACTTTTGTGAGACTTTTTATTACTGAGCAAAGCTGAAAAAAATGCTAAGTATAAAAAATGAGAAAAATTGATAAAATATATTGAAGTCGGTTTGTAATAGTTTTCTTTAACACAATGGGTATCAAAATACTCAGAATTTAAAATTCTATAATCTTAGACCTTAATCACAAACAATTAAGAAAAAATTGCTAATTGATTTTATTCACAGCAAGGAAATTATTTTTTTTCATTTAATAAGATATTGTAATAGGGAAAATCAAATATACATGTATATAACCTGCAGATAATTTTGGCACAGATTCTGAGCTGAATAGGGACAGAATTGGCATGGAACCAGTGATTTCTGTGTGGACCATGGAAAGAAATGAAATTCTGTCATTCCATTTCAAAACAAAAACAATTCACATAAAAGTTACCCAAAGTATTATTCTACTCTAGTTTTTTTTTTGCATTTACAAACATTGAAATGTATATGTTTTCAACCTATTGTACTTCTTACAGTACTTTTTTCACTCAAGCTCATGCAATTGTCATTTTTATCTATTTCAAATCAAGGAATCAATATTCCTGATAATTGCATACACTTAGGACACCCACTTAGATATTACACCACGCAGATCAAAGATCTGATAAAACTGGCCACCTTTGTTCTCCCACCATAATGTGCATGACTAATTTACTCCCTGGTCATTCCTACAAATCAGACTGTTCCATGTGATTATTTTGGGGAGAGGTAACATTACAAAGTTGAATGATATGCAGAATATGTCTAGGACATTGCAATTTTTTTCTTTATTAAATTCATGATTTTTTAAATCTACTTATCTATTAGCTATTTGATGTGGTTTTTTACATTCAATGAATGTTATATAAAATGATAACTGCTTTGATTTTTGGATTAACCCTGTTTTACCTAATGATGTACCTGTCCAGTTTGAATGGTCAGCTAGAAGCTTGGAAATAGTGTAAATTACAGAGGAGACTACTTCCTGTTTAAGCAATTTTGGAGATATAGTTTTGTTTAAGATGTTAAGGTGTTTAAGTTTAACAAGCAATTATCATAGTATTGCAAGCAATCCATAAGTCCCCTACCGGTAAGAGCCCAAGCAACATTCTGAAGGGCCATTCACTTAGGTTCCTATTTAAAGTAAATTTGTTGAAAAAGTTCTTTAAAAGTGATCGCAGGAAACAGTTTTTATGTACAGACAGACGGACTGAAGGACACTCTAAAGTTATTTTTTAAACATCCCTGTTATCAAAATATAACATTTTTAAAATCCTGTCATGATTGAAGAAGTTGGAGTAAAAATTACCAATTTCTCAAAAAAAAGTCTAAGTTCAAAAGGGGCATAATTCTGGAAATAGTCTTGCTAGAGTATTGAACACTCACAAATGTTGAGTGACAATAAGAAACATTTATAAGAAGTTTGAAGTAGATACATTCAGAAAAAGAAGTTATTAAAAAAAACAATGTTTTTTTCATGTAATTTTAAGTTCAAGGGAGGTAATTCTGATAAATTTTGTACTAGAGTTGTAAACCTTGTCACATATGATGTGGTTGATGACAAGCAACTTATATTTAAAGTTTGAAGAAAATACCTTAAGAAATAAAGAACTTATAGTGAAAAAACTTAAAAACTAGAATAAGAAATCTTGAAATTCAGTCTATTTGTTGCCATAGCAACCAGAATTTTCAACATAGGAAGATAAGAAAAGAATGTGCATAATTTCCATACTGCTATCTACCCATATGTCAAGTTTCATAAATATATTTTCAGTACTTTTTGTGTTATCACTGGATCCAGGTTATGTGTAAAATTTTCCATATTTTCAGTCTATTTGTTGCCATAGCAACCAGAATTTTCAACATAGGAAGAAAAGAAAAAGACGTGCATAATCTCCATACTGCCATCTATCCATATATCAAGTTTCATAAAAATATTTTCAGTACTTTTTGCGTTATCGCGGGATCCAGTTTATGTGTAAAATTTGTCATATTTTCAGTCTATTT